CCAGGCAAGATGCAAGGACAGGCATGTGTATCCCACCCTGGGGCTTAACCTCTTCCAGCGGTGGGAGAGCCCAAGGGCCAGGGGAAAGGACCATTTCACCATTTTGCATGCAGCCACAACTATTCCTAAATGAATAACAACTGAAAATCTGGAAGAAGAAATTTGGAATCATAAGTCTCAGGCACAAACTCTCAAACGAAATTTTAATTAATATCACAGACGGACTCCGGAATCCTTTGGCCGAGGCAGAATGAAGCGGTATTAATGTGACTCACAACAGCTGGGCAGTCACTGATCTTGGCTAAACCTTCCCCAACACATCACATTTCAAAGGCCTGTTATCTCGGGGAAGGTTGCATTAAGTGTCCCCTGTAATTATGTCTCCAAGAACAATACTCCTCTGCTCATTAAATGTTTCAGTGGGTGGCCTGCTGCAGGCGGCAGGAACTTAACCAGGAGATATGAGCCCTAGAGGACAAAGACAGAGGCCACCAAGGAGTTGTCCAACTCTATTAGCTGGGATGAGGCTCTCTATTGGGTTGAAAATTGCTATAATTGGGGGTGTAAGCAAAGAAGCAGATAAGTTGTTGCTGGGTAAAGTACATCAACAGACAAAGATGCCCACCCAGGTTCTCCCAGCTGCCCTCCCGTGGCTGAGGTGAGGTTCAGAGGGGCTGTGAGCCCCAAAAGCCAATGCAACATTTGCCACTCATTATCTCTACCTCCCAGGCCCTGTGTCCCTGCCATCTGTACAAACAGACATTCTCCTGGGAAACAAGATGTGTTACCAAGAGCAGAGCTGTGTTTGTTCATAGTATTGTTTTTGAGGATTGGGGTCCTAACCCAAAGGAGGATAATTCCATGTCTTTCCACAAACACACATACTCACAGGATTATTCATGAGTTGCTGCTGGATGCTCACAAAGACTCTTGCCCCCTATCAGTTTAAAATCTCACTGGGGGCTCTGGGCAGATGGCAGCTACAGTGACATCTTCCTCACAGAAAAAAGCATGCAGAGAAACTATGTGCTAAATCAACAACTCACATATTTACAACAAAACTAGGTGACAACGTATCCCCTAACATTCAAGCCAATGGACAAAGCCACCAAGAGCCATGAGACATGGTTCCACTGGCAGCTGTGCTGGAGAAATAAAAGGACACCTATGGATTAGGGAACACAGAACCAAACTGTGGCTGGTGGTCACTGACAGGCACTGAGGGATGTCTGGGATGTCTGAGGACCCCACCTGTGCTAGGGAGGGCCTGGGGAGGAGGCTGTGGCAGCCCAGGAACCTTGGACTCCGGAGCAGAATCCAATTAGAGAGAAACCACAGAGGCAAAGCAAAGTAGAAAGCTAGAGCTGAGTGGAGGAGAAACAGGAAAGGAGTTTCAGAGAGAAGCACTGCACAGTCTTTACACTATGAGTGGGCAGAGGAAGGAGTGCCTCAAAGTTGGTAGCTCCAATTCTCCAAACTTCAGAAACTCATACACAGAAACTCAAATTTTGCAAAAGTGTTTACATCTGAGACCACCTCCTGGTGGGGAGTTAGTTGGAGAACTGAGAGAAGGGGCATCTTTCTCTCTAAGGTAGTACATATTCAGATCAAATCCCATATACAGCTATTATCCAAAAGAAAAGGAATTGAGCTACAGATAATGACAGCATGCCAAAAAGCTATCGAAGTGTAGCATATTATTTCATGCTACAATGAATTAAATGCCTTAAGAAAATGATATAAGACCTGAAATAACACTTTAGAATAATTTTAGAAATGCAAATTAAACTAGAAGAAACACAAAAGCAATACATAAAAAGAAATGATAAATGCCTTAAAGGAAAAAGGTGAAAAGGATATGTTTTTAAAAATAAAAAAGAAACAGTGAGAAAAATAAAGAAGATTTAGAGGAAGGACCAAATATTGAAGACAAGCAAAAAAGATCCAATCAGCAGAGAATAGAAGTCAGCCTCTTAAAAAGAAAACCAAGGAAAGGAACTGAAAACCACTGAAGTGTATGACTTTAGACAGTTTTCCTGAAGTTAAAAAAAGATTTAAAATGACACACTGGAAAAGCACATCACATTCTGGAGACCAGCAACCCAAAATGACCAACGCCAACACAAGATCTAGTAAAATTACTGAGCTTAAAAGACAACGAAAAGTATCTGTGGGTCATCTAGGTAAAAGAGATGATCCGTAAGTGAAAGAAAAATTAGATTACATGCAATTTTGGACAAAGATGTTTTTATGTTAAGGAAAATTATACTATTTTCTTATGTTTTTGATATTCAAGATACTCATATTTATGATCTGAGAAACATGTGTGAGGTAGTGCTTTATATCCAGCAAAACTGACTTCAAGTATAAAGGGACTAACAAACTGCTAGGAGCAAGCAAAACTTCAGAGAACATTAGTTCTATGAAGTGAGCCCTTACTTAAGGGAATCTATGAGAGGCATAGCTTCAGACAAATGGAATGACTGAACTGGCATCACCTATAGACGGTGAGCGTTACTTGTGCAACTACCAGCAGATAAGACTGAGAGTCAAAAGGGGTAAACTAAGTAAGCACTGGCTCTAGAGTACTGTAAAAATTGGGAGAAGACTGGAAGATGAAAAATAATCATCCTTGGTTATAGTAATATTATTATTGTTATTTGGAGACTATTGTGATAATTATGTGATGTCCTAATTCTATATCTGTATGAACCAAGGCTCTTGTTTTTGAATAAAGGAGACACAAATGTAATATGTAATTAGTTAAGTAAAAACTGTGTAGTTTAGAATCTGAGTCTGAAATATCTGAAATCACAAAATATTTGATACCATTCATATACATGTATACCATATGTATGTATGCTCTGTCCATGCATGTACTGTGTTAGAAAAGATGACTAACATAGTGGCAAAAAACATCCCATGTTTCCCAGGATGTGATCCTGAAGTGTTGTTTGTGAGTGAAAGAAATCCGTTTCCTTAGGGAACTGAGCAAGTCCAGATGAGGCACCCAACAGATGATACAAGTGTAGAGTATCTTCACAGGACAGATAGTAAGAAGACACGAAAGCTCCTGAAGTCATGTCAAGAGGACTCAGGAGCCAACATGGAGAGGCTCCAACTGGCCAAAGATAGGAAAATATGATTTCCAATAAAGGCAATCATTGCAATACATTGAAACCCATCAAATATGTGTAAGTCCATGAGTTCCTAATATTATTTTTAAAACATTATGTTCACATTTGAAGGATGAAAGGAAATCAATTTATTGTATTACTCTGCAAAGTGGGTACCTGAAAGGAAGGCACTGAGTATTTATTCTGTTTTTCTCTTAAGACCTGTACCAATGGGTGAACAAGTGGAAAATGAATGGAATCTTTTTCTTAAAAAGTATACCAGCTAATGAAGGAAAACAAAAGTACAAAGTTTGAATGATGCCTTCATGCAGCCCTTTGGGCAGTGAGGGACCTGAGTACTGAACACCACGAACTGTGAATGTGGAAAAGCAGAAAGGGCCACACCTTATGTGCTCCCTGATGAGATGTATCACTTAACCAAAGAGGTCTCTGGACACAGCTGCAAGCAGGCAGGAAATAGGAGAGATGAGGCCATGCGGCATTGGTAGCTGCAAAGTTTGCAATGGTGGCTGTGGACTCTGCTCGGCTGTGTAGCCACCTACTCTGCCTGGGAGCCAGGACTCCTGAGTCCAGCTTCACAGAACATAAAAGGAGCTTTGGGTCAGTGGTGTAGCAGCCTCAGCTGGTGGATCCCAGACCATGCTCAGGTCCTGGACTTCAGTTAGAATCCCTTTTGGAAAGGCCCTTTTGTCAAACTCTAGTTCTACTCTTGGATATTAGTTTTCCTCTTGCCAAAGCTGCAGGACCTCGATTCTTTTCAAAGCAAGCCATGTCTCCAAATTCCAAGGACTTTCTGAGGTTCCACTCTGAACCCCTGTCCCATGACACCTGGGCCTCCCTGATGCAGGCCCATAGCCTTGCTAGATCCCTGCCCGTTACCTGTTTCTGGGAGCCCAGGACCCCCAGCTGTCATCTGCCCTCTGAGGGCACCCATCTGGCTCTGCTGCTAGACTTGTCCAGCCAAGATTTTCAGTTTCCCAGAGCCACCCTGCCTGCCTGCCACAGTGACTGAGTGTGCAGCCCAGCCTTCCCCTGTGGGCTACATGCTGTGAGGTGAGGCATTTATTTGTAAGGTAAGCCTATTCCTCCGGCCTCCCTGCACTTTCTTCATCTCTGACACAGCATGCCATCAAGCCAGCTTACACACGATTCAGCATCAAAGATTCAGAAATGGCCAGATCTGCAAATGCCCTCAGACAGAGCATGCTTTTTAAGGACTTCCTTTGCTTTGGTTAAGAAATTGAGAATCAATGAAATGTTGGTATGTTTGGCAGATCCCATGCTCATCAGCAATCAAGTTTGCACTGGAGCCTAGAGTCTCTGACCATGATTTTTTCCCTACTTCCCCTCCATTCTTCCATGGCCACTCTCCTTTTCCAGTAGTTGTTAACGCCCAATACTTCCATGCAAGCTGCCATGAACTCTGTGAAGGACGAGGAAAGGTGTGCTAGAGGACTGGGGTATGTTGGAGTTGCATGCTGGTAAAGGAGGTACCCATGACCCTGCTTGTATGTAGATAAAGGTTTATGAGAAGGACAAAAGCCAGTTACACACTGATTGCAAATGCTACAGTAGGAAAAAATAGTGATGCTACACACACACACACACACACACACACACACACACAACTGTAAATGTCTGCACACCTATATATGTGGCTATTCTCCTTATGGGAACTCATTCTAGGGAATTAGTCACGGATACATGGAAAGATTCAGCTACAAGCATGCTCACTGTAGCAAGATTTATGATCAGGAAATGTTAGCCCCTATGTCAAACAGTGAATTGGTTAAATAAATCATGGTATATCCATTCAATAGACACTACACAGGGATAAAAAATAATGTAAACTTTATCATGATGTATCTTGCTGGATTTTATTATATGTGATAGTATAAACAGAAATTGTTATAGGCAAAGAGATAATATAGAAACCATTGTTTATTTTTCTGTTAGTTGGTTCTAAAAACCCTACAATGCTTCATCCACTTGAATGGTTTTACACTGACTTGATATGTTTGAAGCTATAGTATATGAAGTTATATTCAAATATTTCAAGGAAAAAGACACTATGGTAACTACTATCAAACTGGGTTATTTGGTGGTGAAGCACTAGGTTGCTGAAACTGTCATGCTTTGACCTGTACTGTTATGATGTTATGTCCTCTTTTATCTCAATCTCTTCCTTATTCATTAAAAAATTATTTAGTTATTTTTTAAGATTTTTTAATTAAGGGGAAAAATAAAAAAAAATAGCAGGATATATGATAGTAACTTATTTGATTTCCTATTAACTTGATTTGAAGTCCTGTAATACTCCCACTATCTTGTTTTGACTGATTAGACTCTGTTCCGTTCTGTATGATAGTATCAATTTTGAAGGTATACGCAACTACTTTGAAGGCAATAAGATTCACTATGATGCCCATTCTGGTTTGACTATTATCTTCTTTGGAAATCCTGTAGTGTTTACAAGGTTTAGGTTCTATTGGTCTTGTTCTCTACTGTTTTGTTCAACTTTATAATACCTAATGAGATAGACAATTCTTTTTAAGGAAGCAAGAGGCATTATGGTAACCATTGTCGATAACCTTGTACTCTGTTTTTACATCATGTGCTATGTCTATCCTTGGTTTTGACTGACAGCTTTGTTTTGCCATATTTGACTTTATTCTCTTCCAAAAAAAAAAGTAATAAGAACTAAGGAGTAATAAAACCCAAAATGTGTAAATTTTGTTGTAAAAAAGAGAGGGAAAAAAAGTGCTCTAAAGTGTACAACTGCAAGTGTGTTTAGGGGTGTTAAACAGATGCCCACATTAATGTTTTTGGTTGGATCATTGAACACAACTGTTTGCAGTCTCACTGTTTGAATGTCCACTTTGTATGCTTTGATACTGTGACTTCAGCAACTGTCTCTAGGATGATAATTGTAATCTATTAACTGGTGATTTCTTACTGTTTTTTTTTTTTGTAGTTCTGTATTAATTGTACCCTTACACTGCTTTGTTTTGTTTTGTTTTTTCTTTTTCCTTTTAAATAAAATTTTTTAAAAAATTAAAAAAAAATGTAAAATAAAATAATGTATAATGGCATGAAAAGACATTCATATAACATTGATCAACAAAATGGTATATTATAAAACAACATATTCACAGAATGATTCTGTTGCTTAAGGTATTAATTCCTATACTAGAATGGTACACATATTAGAATGCATCAAATATGATTAGTAAAGGCACTTATTACCTCCATCTTGCTTGCTGCCTTAATAAACATGTATTAATTATCTGATCAAAAATCAAAGCAAAATTCTTTCCCTCCAGTAAACTCCTCCAGAATCTATCTAATTCTCTCACTGATCTCTTCTTGCTGTGCGCTCTCACATTTGTGGGGCCAGGGTGTGCTGTGCAGTTTGATCTTGCAAACAATGTGCATCCACCAACTTGGAGATGAAGGCCAAAGCAAAACTTTATAACTCAGATAATGGTTTAACAGGACTTCACGGAGCAATGGTCTCTGCATCCCGGAAGACAGGCTTTTCTAAGTACAAAAAAATTTTCACTCAAGGCTTAATGAATGACACAGGATGCATTTAAACCTCTAATGCTAACCACAGATACACAAGACCAAATAAAGAACCACTGTCTGCGACATTTTAGCAAACACTAAAGTCAGCAATGGCAGCTACGGTGGGAAACTGTAATGAGATGCACAGCAGTGCTGCACATTTACTCTGCAAAGTGACTCGGTTGAAAAGGATAGCATTCATTTCAGCTTTCTTCCCAGCACTTTGCTTCCGCAACACAGTTGTTTGTAACCTTCAAATCTTTTGCTTTCTCTTTTTTCTTTGTATTTTTTGAAAGAGTTTCCTAACTTTTTCCTACAACACATTACAAGATGTGGAAAAATATCTGTCCACTTATTTATATTTATTGCTGTCTGCACAGATTCAACAGACCTTCCCCAGTGGAGCCCTGTCATTGCTCGGCACCTTGGAGCCTAGAATATGAGTGGTCAGTGAATGGTGGGCAGTGGTTGGCAAGCAGATGTAGTGACAGAATCAGATTCTTATCCTCCCTCCACCTGCAGCTCTGGGTATCTTAAGGAAATGGCACTGTGGTTGCTCAGCAAATTGTGTGGACTCACAGAAAAGTCAGCCACTCCGCTGTGCAGGGTTGACCACTGACACAGAAACACAAGCCTTTGGTTTCAAGGTCCCTGAGGGGAGAAATGTCCACGCAGGCTCCCCTCCCTTCCAGGGTTCTTCTCCCATCAATCATGGGTCAATAGAGCCATCACTTTTATTTATTCTTATTTTGGCAGATGCATGAAGCAGAAAGCTTGCTGCTGCCCCTGGGCTTTTTCTTAGCTGGGAAGCTTGAGACAGGCTTAGCCTGCTCTCTTCAAGAAGTCGGCTCTCTGCAGAAGGCAGTTCTGAGGATGTGTGCAGCTTGCCCGCTGCCTGCAGTATGGCTTTGCTTCCGAATGCTTTGTCTCGAGGTAGGTCGTGTGTGCATGCATACACGCATCTCCAGCTCTGGCCTATAGTCACAGACAAATGCAGAGAAAGGGACTGTCATGCTCTGTCCTCCTCCCCCGCCCCACTCAGAGACAGTATCGGGTACAATGACTTCAGCGGCGGAAGCACACCCCAAAGACTGTTCAGATGGGCAAGAAGACAGGCAATGTGGTCCGCCAGCTGAGCAGCACGGAAGGCTCTGATGTACTGCAAGGCAGAACCGATTTTTAAAAATAAAAGAAAAAGATAGCCGAGGCCTGGTTCTCCCTCTGGTTGTTGTTGACTCTCCAAAACACTGGGTCTGGCGCACGTTCTGATCCCTGGAGTTTGATGCACGTTTGATTCACAGACTGCAGCGTGTCTGCACCAGATGGCCTCGAGTTAATGAACACAAACTCATCACTTTTGCTCACCAGGGAAATGTGCAGCTCAATCTGATTTGTACTCTACAACTAAAAATATTTGAGTATTTTTAGGGAGCATTTTACTGAGACAAAATGGCACTTCAGGAAAGCATTCAAAGAACAGAGACTAACCAGCAAATTGCAACTGCAATCCCTGACACATTGATAAGACAGCTCTTCAGATCTCTCTTGCACTGAAATTAAAGCGGATCTGCTAGAAGCTGTACAGCCACCGTGGTCCCTGCTGTCCTCTCGCTCAGCTCCAACCCCACTGCTCTGTCCTGTGCTGAGCTTGCAATCCCAACACAAACCACAAACTCCTTCCCAGCCCAAGACCTGCTCATTTACACACCAGCAAACACATTTTCGCAGGGTATAGGCACACGCATACATGCAACCAGTCTTTCATGTCTGTATGTTTCTAACATATGATGACAGTTTTTGGATTCGGGAAGCATTCTCTCAGTGAATACTACACGATCTCCATCTTGCCCAACTGTGCTGCAACGCTGTCGGGTTGAATGTTTCCTGGGCTACCAGCACCAGCCAACAAAACAGTTGATGCCTGAAGATGAATGAGGAAATGGGAAGCTGTTCCGTGCGCTCATTTCCCCTCCTCCAAACTCCCACATTTTCTCCTGTTTTATTTAGTAATCTTAGCAACTCAACTCAGGAGCATGGAAGTCATAGCTTTGGTGGTCGACTTCATGCTCAGCTGGTTCTTCATCAAGTCAACAACCACACAACTGGGCTCTTTTCTCATCCAATGTGACTGGGGACAGCCAGGGTCAAGAGAGAGTTCCTGGAGCCCTGAAATCTGGGTCACTGCATGAAGCATGTGGAAATCCCGACCTAGGTCCTCCCTCTGAGACCTCTGGGATCCAGATCTGCATTTTGTCATGATCCCCAGGTGTCTGATGTGCCAGGGAGAGTGCAAGAGGAACTCCTACATAACCTTCTCCAACCCCAAACTGCAAGTGGTCTCACACTGCCTAAGCAGGAGTCATGCAGTCACCTTCCTACAAAGACATTTTACAAGTACTGTGGGTTTTTGTAGTGATTATCTATTTAAATAAAAGTCACCTTTAGATAGAAGAGAATATCACCGATAATGCTGTAATCTCAATCCTCTGGAAGGCTGAAGCAGGAGGATGCACGTTTAAGCCCAACTCAGTAAGCTTCTGGGAAACTCAGTGAATGGGAAACTCAATGAGATCTTGCCTCAAGGTGTGTGGGGTGGGGTATAGGCAGTATGAAGGTCCTGAGCTCAATCTTCAGAACTGTCAACAACCAAAAAATGTCTACTTATAAGTCACTGGTTTGTGACTTGTGATTTGATTAAGGAAAAATATGAAATACAGACCTCCTAGCTCTCAGGGTCCAGAAATTTCCTTTCAAGCCCAAATCTTCCACAGAAACAGCTGAGAGGAAGCCTTGACCATGACTAAGTGCTTTCTAGAACATGAGCCTAGGCAATAAGGGGTCACGTGGGAAGGCCCATAGATTCCCCCTGGGCTCTCACTTTCTCACAGAGAAGAGCTCACGAGTGACCTGTCACAAGCCATGCAGAGAGGGTGTTGTGCTTGAATGTAAAGTGTTATGTTCATGACACTAAGAGGATGGAAATGAATCAGACTATGCTGATGGGAGCAGAGGACTCTGAGAGGTGATCAGATCAGTCATTAGGGTGGGGTTATGATACAGTCCCGGTGGTTTATAAAGAGAGGGGCAGGGGCCACACACATATGTGCATGCTTCTGCCATGGGTCCATGTGCCTGCACTATGTTGTTTGTACATCTAGCCACTAAAACCATGAGCCAAAATCCTTTTTTCTTTATGAAGTAGCTTGCCTCAGGTATTTCATTACAGTAATGAGAAGATATATAAATACAGAGGAGTTTGAGTGCCTAAAAGAGCAGCAGTGGGGAGATAGCAGTTCTCTTGCAACAAATTGGAGTCTCAATTGGTTTACCAACCCAATTGCATTAAATAATTATTCCCAGCTTTCCAAAGAGTGTCCCCCTGTGCTGGTCCCAGAGTGGAGGGAGGTCACACAACAACTCAGGCAGAGACTTCCTCATCGCTGAGGAGCTGGCAAGGGGAGGCACATGGAGGAGGGGAAAGACCTGCACTAAAGGGCCACAAAAGGGTCATGGAACATGTTAGCAGGGCCTCATGAGCTGCAGGGCAGAAAGTGATCCCAGGGGAGTTTTGGGTAGTATCACAGAAAAGCTAGGTGTAGTGAAATCCTGCAGGAAAGGAGGAAGGAGAGGGGCAAAGACATCTCAGGCTGAGGAGACAGCATGTATAGAAGCATGAGAAGGTGGTGAAGTCACAGAGAATGGAGAAGAGCATGGCAGGGCAGAGGAGTGGCCTGTGCGATCTCGCATCATCCTGAAAAGCATCTGAACAAGCTCCTTTGCAACTCATGACAGCAGTGGAGGTGTTCATACTACCAAAAGCAATTTCTAAGTATAAACTTCAGCAGTTTAAATAATAAATGTGTTCTGTTTTCTTTGTAATAGGCTTAGTTTATGATTATCATGTACCATTTGCATTACCTAACTGTACTTTAAAACAAAGAGCTGTATTGTATGTGATTATTCAGATTTGTAGACATTCTTTTTATTTCACTTTCCTCAGCTGGTGTTCCATGCTGGTCTCCTCTGAGTCTTTTATCCTTATCAGACATGGACATTCAAGAACCAAAGCTGGCAGGACTTTTCTGGCGGCTCGAGTCATAGGATAGCCAGTTCCTTTTCTTCCTTTGCACAGTCTCTGAGGTTGTCCCACAGGCCCACTTGACATGCTCTGTACACTTCACACATCCACGTACCTGTTGGTTCCCACTCTGCCAACCTAGCACTCTTTCCAGTATGGCACATGACAGCAGAGTGCTAATGCATAGAGAATTTTAGGTGCCTTGCTAGTGTGGATGGGACTTTTACTAAAGAGAGGCCAACTATCTCTGGATCCAAGTTGGAAAACAGACATTTGACTATTCTGCTGGTACAGGCCACAAAGAAGGGATATCCTGAGAAAAGGACTCTAATACTTTATATACCAAGCAATTCATTTAAACTACAAAAGGAAGGCCTATATACACACTGAGGATCCAGACACAGTTATTCAGTTACTATCTACAGGATCTCATGATTCACAAGTGAACTTTCAGCTATAGGACTGAATTCACCAATCTCAAATCCATCCAAAAGTGAGTCCATTTTACATGGAGGCTATTTGAAATGCACGGGCTGGCTGACCCATCCATTTGTTCATTTATTCAATACATACTTAGCATGTGGCTTTGAATAAGCTGAGCTCAGCAAAAGAAGGTATCTGCACTGATGACTGTAACATAGGACATGTACATAGCTGCCATGGGAGAGAGACCCAGCAGTGTGCACAGAGTCATCCAGACTGGCATGGTAGTCAACACACTGAGGAGAAGGAAAGAGAGACACATGCCCTGGAAATGGCCAATAGGACCATCTGCCAGGAAAGTCAGGGCACATTAAGGAGCAGTGAGCACTATGGGCAAACCACCAGTAACATAGTGCCCAGCCTTCTCCAGGCCAGGCTAGGGAGCATGAGGCCTTACAAGGGTTTCCACCAGAGCCAGAGCCTTTGAGCAGTGGGAAGGGAAGAGCCCAAAGGGGAAGAATGGAGTGTGACTTGCTGAGGCCTGGGTCAGACCCACACCTGAACACCTCCCAAATGGTGGCGATGAGAATGGAGAGAGATGGAGACTCTCTGGGGACCAAGAAATGGGAGGAGATGCAGAATATTCAGGAGAGTATTAGACTTTAGAAAATTAAGACATTCTAGGGCAGAAGAATTGGCTTGGAGAAAGATCAAAGTTCAGCTTGAAACATGTTAATTTGGAGATACAAATGGAGTACCCAGGTGTAAACACCCATAAAAGGAGGTAAATATGGAGCAGAAAGAAAATGGGCGATAATTGTGGTTGGGTGTGATATTTGTCAATCATTTATTGTTTAATGAATTGTAATCTGATGGGGGGGCCCAGACACTGTAATGCAATGATGAGCAAGACAGAAAGCCTGCCATCAAGGAGTTTTTGGACTGGAACAAGAAACAAACCAGCAGCAATCACTGTAAAGAGGGATAAGTGTTTAAGGGAGGTGAAGGACAATACCCAGAGAAGGCGTAAAGCATAATTGTGGAGTCTAGAAAGGGACTTGCAAGGAGAAGAAATAAAAAAAGAGGATTAACCCCTTTGGTCAGGAATTGAACATGTGAATGGGCAATGGCCCGACTCAGGATGAAAGAACCTGGCCCTGCATCCTATAGCTACTAATCCAGAAAGCCACCCTACCGTGCATGGTGGCCAGCTTAGGTAGCCACACAAATTCCATAGCAATTTGCCCCAAGTGGCCAGAATTAATAACTGGCAGACATCTCTAATTTTGTCTCAGCTACCAATTGAGGTCTACTTAAAAGAGGGTCAAACTGGATTCCAATCCAAGTACATTGGATGTCTCGTGTTTCATACCTCCAGGCCAACAGCTTCTAATTAGGGTGTTTCAATCACTTTGTCACTGATACCACTGTATCTGCACCCACAAATTAAAGGAGAGGTTTATTTTGGCTAATG